GTGGTGCCAGTGTGATGAAGCCTAAGCGACCTCACTGCAGCATGGTGTCAGTGTGATGAAGCCTAAGCGACCTCACTGCAGCATGGTTTCGGTGAGATGAAGCCTAAGCGACCTCACTGCAGCATAGTGTTAGTGTGATGAAACCTAAGCAACCTCACTGCAGCGTGGTGCCAGTGTGATGAAGCCTAAGCGACCTCACTGCAGCGTGGTTTCGGTGTGATGGGCTGTAAAACGTCATGTGTTGCAGGCGGCTGCAGATCGAGGACCTGGAGGCCAGGATAGCTCTCCTGCCACTACTGCAGGCTGAACACGACAGGAGGTGAGGCTGTAGCCTTATATTCACACATCGTTCTGTTATGGGCTCGCCTGTCCCTCAGCCAAATGATTGTTTATTATATGCAGAAGACTGTGTAGTAGCAAGGGAATCGGGATCAGTTTTATTGGAAAGAATAAAGTACATGTTAGGCTTGCCAACAATGAAGTGCGAACAACAATTATGTCACGCAATTTGTTTGAATGTATTCAAACACCTGTGTCCCACCCATGCAAAAGTACTTCCTTCCCCTAAGAGGTCAGGGTGGGAAGATATTGTTTGAAATATTTTTGCGTTCCCTCACAATGGTAATTCTAATAATGACTGTATTGTGTCCATTTAAAGCACAAAACATAGAATTAGTGAACTAATAAGTATAAGCCTAAACGATACGGACATGTCCAGGTAAATGTGCTTTAAGCATTAAATTATAGGGCACAATGCATGTAACTTTCATATATGTGTTTTTATACATATTTATTAAATAGTGGAGAATTGTATGAAACCTACATCGGTGCCTCAAGCAGGGGAGAGTTACTCAAAGTTAGTGAAAGCATGAGATGTTTTACCATGAAAGCCGGACTGAGAGCTCACGAGCAACAGTAAATGCATCTAGTGAGGAAGAACGGGGTAGAGAATAGATCAAAACATTTCTTATGTCGATGTTGGAACTTTTTAATGGGCTGTTCAAAATTGTTCATTTTTTAAGGGAAATCTTTCCTGTTTTTAAAAAGTAGTATACCATCTTAGGTAGCAGAACATGTCAATAGTGATATCTAGGGTTCCATGATAATAGAAAAAATTCATTGCGATATCTGAAATTTTTTTAGATTAATATTAATGCAGAAATATACCCAAAAATAAACTGTAGTCAGACTGAATGTACTTGACAGACTCTGTAAATAGTTGGTGGTCTTGTCGTAAGTTGTGCCAGCAGACACAAAGCAATGCTTCTGCTCAACATCGTCTCTGTGGAATCCAAAATATTATCTCACAACGGAAGACGATTGCCTGTTGGTGACCAGTTTTCGTTCATTTTTCTCCTCCACACTCATTTTTCTTAAATTTCTCAAGACGTGCCACATTATGAGTGAGCTGAGAGGTAAATGACCGTGAGAGAGTTCATGCAGAGCTCACGCCAAAGCAGAGGCGGTCACTGACTATCGCGGTCATGTGACAATTGCATGCGCATAGCATACGATGTTTTATGAATTATGAATCTGCCAAGGTTCCAGTCACTGTTCAGAACTTTTTGTGGGCTGCTCAGTGACTGCATTCTCCAAGAGATGCTTTCAGTGTTAATGAGATGTTTCTCATTTTGAGTGTTTGTACGTGTTTATCCACAGGACGCTACGGATGCTACGCGAAAACCTAGAGGAGGAGGTTAGAATCATGAAGGACGTCCCTGGCTGGAAGGTGAATCTTTCTTTGCTTAACAAACCTGTGGATTTCTCTTTTGTCCCTGAGTAGATGTAGGTATCCCTACGTTGACGGATCTAGGCAAGCAGGAACTTTCTAGTTTTCTCTCAGTGTTTGGACTTGGAGATTTTGTAAGATGATAAGGTCAGAAAGGCCTCCCTTTCCATCCGGGAGCTATACTGTTGGGTAGGTTTAGGTCTGGGTTTGAGGCTGGAGTTTGGGCGTAGATGTCTCAACTACACGTGATGAATTTTACTTTATTTTTAAGAGGTTGGTTATGTTCAGCTTGTTTCGGGCTGAGACCAAGTACATGATGCAGGTTTGGGATACCTCTCCAGCCAGCCCCCGGTCTTGGTCAGACTCGTGGTCTTTATCCGCGCAGGTGGGCGAGAATGTGTTCCACACAGAGCGCTGGGTGCAGCCTGTCTCCGATGAACTCTTCAACCTTCGGCCGAAGGAAGAGCTCCAGCGCAGGAAGTTTGGGTTCCAGTGGTACGTGTAGGACCCGCTCCAGCCCCGCCCTGCCCCGCCCAAGCTCCGCCCCTGCCCTGACCAAGCTCCGCCCCAGTCTTCCATCAAAACATCTGTCTTTGAATGTCGGAGGACAGGAGTTTGGCAACTTGTCTTGTAAATGTCAATAATTAAATATTTTTTCTCTACTTCACAATGATTTCTGCCTGATTTGTTCAGCTGCATATTCTTGTACTTTCTGGACCTGAACATTCCACCTCTGGTTATAAATATGCTCTGTTGATGTTCTTCGATCCAAAGGAATTCCTAAAAGGGGGTGGGGCCCAAGCAGCCCACAGAGGGAAATTTCATTGGCCTCCTGGTTTGATCAGTGGTGATGTTTAACATTATTGTATCCAGTTGTCGCTCACTGTCATTCATGTGGGACGGTGTCTCTGGGCTTGAAGTGGCTTTTGTATGGTGTTGAAAACAGGATTTTTGAACATGCAGAAGCCTGTTCAGTGTGTTCTGAAGGCCATTAGTGATCTGCAGTAATGGCGAAGCAACATGGACTGTGAACTCCAAACCTATCACAACTTTTTTTTCTGACCTACCAGCATATGTTAATGTCCAGCCTGCACCACCCCTGAATTACCACCAGATGGCGTTATGAGTCAGCTGTTTATTTCTCATTTTAAACTATATTGTATGAGAGCTGAACCCAGGATGTTGCATTATGATTAAAAAAGCAGTAAGTTTTATGGACATTAAGCAGGCAATTTCTCGCTTCTACTAAACCATCTGCTCATGGATTGAGGCTCAGACCAGATGTGGTACTGCAGCACCTTCTGCAAATCAATACAGCTACATTTAAAAAATAAGACAGAATTCAGCTTGATGGGTTATGGTGTGAGATTCCCAGTGCGCTCACTGGATCATACCACATACACTCGATTCCTGGTTGCCTGTGTCTTTGTGAAACAGGTAGCAGAAGATGTAGTGGGTCGGGCTCTGCTTCTGGGAAAGTGTTCTGCTGTCGTGCAGAGCTTGTGCCCTCAGTGATGGAGAGATTGCACACGATTGAGTGAGACGGCAGAGGGAGCCCCCACTCCTTTGCTTTTGACCATTTGAGGTTCTCCCTTACACTTATGGACAGAATTCAGTCACTTGAACGTGCTGGTATCACCAAGAACGTCCTCTTAGCCTTCCTGCTGAAGTGTTTGGGGGTTGTGAGTCTGATTTGCCGTTTCCCAATATGTTGTTTAATTGTCTCCTTTCTGCTGGTATGTTTCTTAACCCCTCTATTTACTGCCTACAAGGCCGTGTCACAACATTTGTTCTCCACGGCTGGCTCAGCCAATCGATTCCTTGCGCAGGGTCTTCTCGCTTCCCATTGGCTGGGGCAGCGGATATAAGCAAACCGGGAGCCGCTCTTTCCAAGCAGAGCGGCAGGCGGCGGAACAGGAGAGAGAGAGAGAGAGAGAGAGAGAGAGAGAGAGGTTGGCTTGGTGTGGGAGTGAGTTTAGCATAAGAGTCAGCCGGCTGAGTGCCTGTTGAATCTTCTCGCCAGCTGTCCTCCCACAAACTAAAGAGTATCTTGGCAGCCTGAAAGCCTTCACAGAGCAGCAGAATGAACCAGGGCAGTGCCGACCCAGACCCGGAGTTCAAAGAGCCTCTTCGATACCTCAGGTATGGATGACGGGGGTGTCTGGGGGTGAATGAGAGACATCCCACAGTTTTGCAGTTCACCACTTTAGTTTGTTGACCGATGGAGATGAAGCCGTTTTTCTGTGGCCTCACTTCAGACAGACTGCATACATTTAACCACAAGCATGATGCTGGTGAAAAAATCTAGCACTTATATGGTAGCCTGGAAGAAACAGAGCTATCAGTCTTCTCCTGTGTTAAGGGGGTCATGTCTGGTTCAGATGGGCAGAGTGTCTGAAGAAGCCAGTTAGGGAGAAGACTGAGTCCAAAATCACAGGGTGTGTGTG